GTTCATGAAATTTACACAGTCATAGAGAGTGTGGCGTCGCAGGCTCACAAACTCTACTGTGTAGATCTTTCCATAATGCGGCTAAGATTATTTTTATATCGGCAGGAAGAGATTTTCGATATCCATTTCTTTCGTGCGCCAACAAATCCACGAATAAGTTCCACCACATCTCCATACCATCCTATACACGGCGCTGGCAAGCGAATTAGCCACAACTTATGTAATTAGTTTTATAATTAGCTCATGTTTAGTCCTCCTAATTGATATCTAAAAATTTAATGTGACAGGGACTAAAGTTTAGTCCTGAGATTCAAACACCCCCTAACTCTCGACTCCTACTGGCTGCTCACTTAGACCACAATGCCTATGTGTCTGCACGTATATACTCTAATGCCAGAACGTCTAAGATGGTCTTTATTATCCACACTTTAAAAATATCATAACTTTAAGGTTGTCATTTGTGTATGTTGTAGGATTATGATACTTTGCACTGATCCATGAGGGTGTCCATGAGAGTCAAAAATTTTGATGCCATTTTCAGCCAAATTTTAGACCAGCGAATAGGACCATTATGATATCTAAGCTTACTAATCAGACAGAGACGAACTTGATTGTTAAAATATTTTCAACACTGCTTTCATATACTCCCTCTGTCCCAAAATAGAATTTATTCTCGCTTCCCGAGAAGTCAACTTTTTTTAACTTCGACCAATTATATATAAAAGAATATTAATATTTATAATACATAATTAGTATCATTACATAGACCATTGAATATATTTTCATAATAAACTTATTTAGAGATATAAATGTTGCACATATTTTTTACAAACCTAATCAAAGTTGAGAAAGTTTGACCTGCACATATCCCATAACGACTTATATTTTGGGACAAAGGAAGTATATGCTAATGGAAGTAGTCAACCGGAAGTCGTGATGAACACAACAATACTTTTCATATTATATGCTAATTGGAGCACGAAAAAACACAGGGGAATGGACCTATATACGAATGGTGGGAATATTCATTTAGAAACAAAAGGTTCACCAGTCTCACCATGTATAACCTGCACATTTTTTATTTGGCACCAACTGATGTTCTCAAGGAGTCGCCACTTTTTAATTTTAGGTCTGCATGCTGGAAACACTAAAATTAAGGACCAACCTTATTGAGTCGTCATGCTTGATCTTTGTCAATTGTTTTCTTCCATGCATGATTATTATTTCCTTCCATGCATGTGGCCTCAGGTGATCGATTTGTTTCCTTCAAAGTAGATGGGGATCGTAGGGATGGCAGTTTTTTTTTCTATTGCGGGATATCGTATGGCCGGAAAGGAGGAGCGACACCAAAAAATTATCTTACTTTTGTTCTGTTTAGTTGTAGGAGACTAGATTCTAGTCTTCTTATGGCTCGTCGTGAGGCGTCGACACTGGGACGGGGACAGGAGGCAGTGGCATGGACTCGACGTAGCCGAACACTGCTACCTCTGTGACCAAGAAGCTGAGACGATTGACCACATCATTTCCTCGTGTTCCTTCTCATGACAAGTTTGGTGGAACATCCTGGCAGCTCTGGGCGTCAACACGTCCAATGTCAGGGGGCAAACGATGCTGACATGGTGGAGCTCGTGGAGGACCAGATGGAATGGCCGGCAAAGGAAGGGAGCTGATTAACTCTTCGCTCTTGTGGGTGGGAGCTCTGGAAAGAGCACAACACACGGTGCTTCCGCGGCGCAACCACTACAGTCGATCACCTTCGGCCCTGTTCACTTGGAGGAATTTATAAGAGTGTGAATAGTGTCTTTCATTTGTGCACAGTGAATTTCGGTTGAAATTGTGAGTAGCCGAACGGCCCCAATCAAAAGTGAGGCGGATCGGTGGATTGAAGCTGGGAACTAAAGGCTGAGTAGTCTTAGATGCGAGTAATCTCCCTGTATCACTACCGGCTAGGGTGGGCAGCACTCATTGTAAATTCTCAACCCGTCCTAGTGCGCCCCTGTACCGGCACTTCGTTGTAAAACATTTTCCTTCTTAATACAAAGATATGCAAGCCTTTTGTGTATTTGAGAAAAAACTATGATGAATTTATGTTTTTGAAGTCTTCACACTTACAACAAACTCCCAAGATTTCAATTGTCGAATTTTGTTTACCGCGAAGAATGGATTTCCATTTTCTTACATGGAAATGAAGATGTGGTTGACGGTGCCTACTAATAAAACATGCTTATATGTTTCTCTCTAGAGACCACTCTTGTCTCTTTTTTTTGCGGGAAAATTTTTCTAGCTTCTAAAAGTCATCAAGTTGAACTATGCTATGTCTTGAGGCAAAAACATGGCTACTGGAAAAATGGAAATTTCCGGCTATGTCGTGACTTATACAAAGGTGAAGACTGAAGCTTTGCCATTTAATAAACAAAAAAAAACAGCCGGGAGACCAGATCCGATATACATATCCTCCCAAATCCAGAAGAGAAGAGTGAAAACAGTCGTTGTAACTGAACGCTTCATATTTGTTTGGCTGATGGTTTTTGCGGCTAATAAGCTGATTGATGCTGTTTTGTTGTGAGAGAAAAAAAAATATACCATGGCTGATAACCAGTTCAAACGAACATGGCAATGCCTCAATTATTTCTCTATTTCCTGCTCTCTCTCTCTCTCATGGTGACCAAAGGAATGGGCGAGATTGCAACGTTAACGATTTATGGGCACCACAGAAGAATTGGCTATGGTTACATGAAAGGGGGAAAAAAAGAGGTTATGGGCGGACAAGCTTATCCGGAATTCCGGATGATAACAAGTTGTGCCATCCTTCAAAATCCACAACCGATGATGACCATACAACAAGCAATGGACTCTCCATATGCATGTTGACATCAGTGCAACAAGCAGCAATGGTCCATACATGCGTAGCCTAGCTACTTCCCGCTACCAATTGACAAATTTGACGAGCAGATGGGAAATTAACCACAGGACGGAAGCGAGATTACGACAGATGACGTTACGGCTTGATCAAGAAAATAGACCAAGGTAACACCGTTTTCTTTGTTTATTTCATCTGATTTGACTCACTGCAAAGTAATACACGGGTTGTTGAAAGGCCAGCGCCCAGACAACCGGACGGGGCTAGCGTCCCGACGCCCGCGCCATATGCCTACGCGGCTTTCACGTGGGGGCCCGTGCCGCTCCGTGTCCCACGTCAGCATCAGGTCCCATGTCGCTCCGTGTCTCGTGCTGCTTCGTCTCGATCTGCGCCTGCATGGTATCCTGCTGGCGCCCCCTCCACACCCACGTCCATGCAGGCGGGCCCAACAAGCTGCAGCAGGCGGCTGCTGCAGATGAGTCCTCCTGAACATGTGCAACACCATATTTACTTTTGCAACATCTAGAGGAAACATTTGCAATATACGTCCAAAACAGTTGAAACACTTGCAATATACATCTGAAACACTTGCGAAACGCTAGAAAAAAACTTGAAAATCATGTGTGTAGCCATTGCAAACATTTAGATGAAACTATTTACAACATACATATGAAAACATTTGAAACACTTACATATATATGCAACATCCATATTAAACACTTGCAAGATATATGTCTAAAATAGATGAAATATTTGGAACCTACACACATGAAATATACGTGTATAGCCATTGCAATATGTGGAACATCACAATCTACTTTTGCAACATCGATGTAAAACACTTGCAACACAACTCTGAAAATATCTGAAACACTTGAAACATACGCTTGCAACATGCGTTTCCAGCACAATATCACCTTGCCGCTCGAACAAATGGAGGCTCATTGTTGCGGAGCACGACACCGGTGCGGAGGTCGGCGGCGGCTCATGGAGCTCACTGGTGTCCCAGTGGAGGTAGCGTCGCGCGGTGCTCTAACGGAGGCACTGCGCTGGGCGAGCACCTGCGCGAGGCCGTGAGAGCAACACTGGGTGAGCACTTGCGCGAGGAGCAACCGGATCTGGAGGTGGAGGTGGTGGAGGACGCTGGCCTAGAGGTGGAGGCTGGTAGGGGCGCCGCCGCCATTGGTGAAGGGGAGAGGAAGCGCCGATGAGGGGAGGGGCACCACCGCCGGAGCGAAGCAGGTGTCCGTCGTTGCGCCGTCACCGTGGCCGCCTATGCGTCGCCGCCGCCGGGAGAAGGCTGGCCACCCTGTGCGTCTACTGAGGGAGAGGAAGAGAGAGAGCGCACACGGCTGAGACGGAGAGGAAGAGAAGAAGAGAGATGGATTGAGCGCGCGGCCGAGGGAGAGGGATAGAAAAAGAGCTAGGGTTTCTCAGCTTATATATAGTAGGAACCAGTTGGCAGGCCTAGATGGGCCAGGTGGGCTCGGCCACGATTTACAGAGGCAGGCCTCATAAGAGGTCCGCCTCCGTAAATCAATTTTAGGTTTTTGACCGCCTTTGTAAACAATTTTGTGTGACGGTTAATTTTGACCACCTCGGTAAATGAAAATGCCCGTCTCCGAAAATCATCAGGCATTTTGCGAGGCGGTTGGATTTTGTGACCGCCTCGGTTAATGTTTGGGCGTCGCTTCGCAAAACCATTTTTGTAGTAGTGTATATTTTTAGTTAAAATTAAAAAAATTGACTTCTCGAGAAGAGAGATGCGTGTTTATTTTAGGATAGAGAGATAGTAAGCAACTATCAAGTCCAAACATGTTCCATATTAATATATGGGTGCTGGAGTCTTACATCTTACATTTTATGGAAGAAAACCCACTCTTTAATTTTATAGTGCGATGACGATGATGATCGTTTCATTTTGCTATTGTATTGTATTTTATTGGCACAAAATGTTGTTTAAATAGCACCCATCTCTCAAGATGAACTTAAGTTACAATTACTTCCCTAGAAGAGTAGTAGTATGTACTCCCTCGTCATATGAAATATAAGGGATCTAGTTTTATCCTAAGTCAAGAGTAGTAGTATGTACTCCCTCGTCATATAAAATATAAGGGATCTAGTTTTATCCTAAGTCAAATTATAGTAACTTAGACGTGCTAATGCCAGGCTTCATATCTAACCATCCAATGGCCTCTTCATGTGTGACCACTGACCAGAATCTGTCGGATAGTATCACTGCAGATGGCGACCATGCGTGCGTACTACTAATAATAGCTAGTACATCCTCATTGCCATTTGTCAAATTTGACGTGCTAATGCCAAAATATAGGATGACACATTATGATTTGACAAAAGGAAGTTATTTCATCTGACGCTTCATGGTTTCAAAAGTAGCATCTTAAAAGGAAAAACGTTCTGTGTCACGTCTTTTTCAAGCACCTAACTGTCTGAATCCAGGTGAAGAAGAAAAAAAAATGTTCGTTCGCGTCAACAAAACGTAGTACATCTCGTCACCATTTCTTCAGTTTTATAAAAAATTGACCATTCCTTTTTTCTTGGGCAAGGTTACTCTGCAGATATTTTTGCCACAAACTAAACACCTAAGTTATAACTGCCATCGACAGTGTTAAGCGGGGAATTGGCAATTACATGATTCTGATCTTCATTTATAAATGGTGTAAAAAAATAAGTAGAGTAGATAAACTAAGTTTAGTACCATCAAATCATGTACAAATTACAAATACATAGGAAGCCTAAGCCACATACCAATGGCACATAGACAGCAGCTTTCAATTGTTGTCGTTTTGGTGATGGTGCTTAGCAATTTTCTTCCCTTGATTCCTTACTTTCCATGAATTGGGAAGAATCTTGGACAAGAAGGTCTATGATATGTTACTTGCGGTCATTGATATCAGATGAGATCGATCCGGCCACCCTCAACGAGTCCCTTGATGGACTTGTACCGAAGAACATACAAGTCATCGGCAACCAAATCCACAACCTCCTCACCTCTTCAAGGAAGTAAGCGTCAAGGTCAGCAGAGCTTGAAAGGGTGCAAAACAAAGAGTTGGATGTGTGTTTGGGAACTTACATGTCATCTAGCTGGAATGCACCTACGTCACTCTTGGTCTTGCAGAAGACAAAGGTGTCAAGCTGAGGCTCTGGCACTGAAAGAGGCATTTGAAAACTGAATCAGATGGATGGTTGCTAGTGGCTGATTACATGAACAAACATGTCTAAAAGCACATTTGCTGCACATCTTTAGCAATATAAAATCCCAAAGCATTCAGTATTTTTGTAGAGATATAAGAAGCATGTGAATGAATAATGCATAAATATGTTCCTGCAGTTGTTATCAATGTACTAGAAAAGCATGCTTTAAGAGCCTTATTTACTCTTGAACCTTTGCCTAAAAGTGAAGCTAAAGGCTAGTCTAAACAAAAGGGAGAAGCTAAGGGCGGCTTAGCCATTGCCTTTGTTCAGTACTAATCAGTGGCAGACCTTTTACAGATAGGTTGATCTCCTCAAATTTGATAAATCCATCAGAAATGCATTTGTAAGCACATAATGATCTAAATACCCAAGCTGGAGGTTAGGAAGATTTTTTTTTGCCAAACCTTGAAGATAGGCTGCGATAGCATCACCTCTATGCATCCATGGAAGAGGATAATAAATTAATAATCACACTGCTAGGAGGGCAATAAATCAGCCTGATTGGTGTGGGAACGCCCAAAATTCCAAATTACTAGACAACTATCAAATTCACGGCAACCTGGTGGGACCGTGGGAGCATGTTCATAATTTGGGGACAGAAGTCTAAGACGCGGTAGGTAACGAGAACCATCACATAAAAACTGCAAGAGGGCATCCTTGTACTAGAGCTGTGATTAATTTGACAACTAAATTTTTGTTATGTAGGAAGTCGACTTTTGAGCACAAGTAACGATCACAGTTCCCAAGGATACATGACAAGCTGCCCACTTGAAATGAAACGGGCAAAAGTTTCTACCAACCATACAGGCTTACTCATGACTGAAGCTGCAGACAACAAGAACAGTATAAAAGTAACAGTAGCAACAAAACAAGGAACGCGGTAATTTGGGAGATGAAGTGGAGGGCATATACCCGTGTCATCCTCAGTGCTGGACAACGACTGCCTGGTAACCGAGTCATACCCGTACGGGAGCTTGGACAGCACCGACTGCTCCAGATGCTTCTCCATGATCTCCGCGCAACTTGTGACAGAGCAGACACGAGAAATTCATCCCCATCAGAACCAGGGACAATTTCACAAATTTAGCATAAACAATTGGGTCAACTGCCCCAGCCGCACGGGCGCAGCCAGAAGGTACTGTACCTCTTGGCGAAGCGGCGTTCCTGCTGCGACAGGCGGCTGAGGAGGTCGTCGGACCTGGAGATATGCATCGTGTACTTGTCGATCTGCAGCACCCACACCAGCAGCGCGATCAGATTAGCGCAACAGTTTTCTTTTTTGGGTCAGTAATTTTGGTTCAATTTAGGCAGGGCAGCGCACGAACGAACATGGGAACTGGGAAGTAACAACTAACCTTCTGCAGGCGGAGGCGGAGGTAGGAGCGGAGGAGGAAGAGCGTGCGGTCGAGGTCCATCTGGTAGAGCGAGACCACCAGGTCGTCGACGCCGCTGTCGGCGAAGTCGTCGAGCGTCTCCTCCTGGAACGACACGACACCGGGAGAGGGAACCCCGGTCAGATCCAGAGCCGCAGGAGGGGGGTGGAGTGGGGGAACGCGATCGAGAAGAAAGACGGAGAGGGAGAAGCGTACGAGGAGCTGGATCTGCTCGCGGACGCGGGACACGAGGGGCGAGTCGAAGCGGAGGATCTCTGGCGCGGCCTTCTCGTTGCGCCACGCCCGCTTGAGCAGCTCCACGTCCGTGGCCGCCGCCTCGGCCGCCGCCGCAGAGTCTTCGTCGTCCCAGGAGGACATGCTCGTCGTGCTCCCCTCGCGCCCCTCTCGCTGGTGGCTCTGGTGGCGATGCCGATGCCGACTGCTCGGCTCGGCGGGCGGCGGCGGTTGCGGCGCTGTCAATTCACTGCAGGCGCGGCTTCTGGCGGGAATTTGGGGCGCGGGCGCGGGGAAACCGCGGGAAACTCGCCATCTCTCTTTTTATTTTCCAGCAAAAAAAAACCCAAGTTGGGCTAGATTAGTATGCTACCTGGGCCTCTTTGGGCCTGCTAGGCTGCTGCTTGTGCAGCTGAACCCGGCGTCGTCGTCGATCGTCGTCGCACCGTCTTGAAGGTGGGGCCCGCGGGGTCACTGTAACAATCTAGTCCGTGTGGCTCTCACCTTCGTTCCGGATCTCCCCTCGACCCTCGTAGGCTGCAAATGTCGTGACCTGGGCCTGGACAGAGGAGGGACAAAAATATCAGGCGCCGGTGGGTGGTGGACTGGTGGTCCTGGTCCACCGTCCACGGCGGCCGCACGCACCCACGGGCCACGGGCCACCAATGGGCCCCCATGCTCACGAGTGGCCCCGACGAGGCAACGACCCCCGTCCCCCTCCCCAACTCCGATTCCCGAATCTTCCTCGCGCACCACAGAAGCCATGTTTTGGAAAAAGACCCAGCTCGGTCCGTCCGCCCCGCACGCACGCCCCCAGCCGAAATCTCCAAGTCGCTTGTTTTTGGGATATTTAACTTTTTATCATTATAATGGCCTCTCTAAATAGTATTTTTAAAATTATTCCTACATATTTACCATCGAGAGAGAGCATTTGATATATTCTTGCCATTTTTCGCTAACGTGGCATGCTAACTCGACCTGACTGCATATATCGGCCACAGGAAATAATATTTTTGTCCCTCATCTATTTCTTCTATCTCTATCCCTTCCTCGCTCGAGCTCCGGCCATCGTCAACGATGGGGTCTATGGCGGCGGCTGACAGGACATAGGGGAGTTGGGGGAGGCAGCCGGGGCCACGGCCTGCAGGTCCACGGCCACGCCCGACGTCGGCGACGAACATGGCGGCACCTGGAGCACGCGCAGAAGCACACGGCCTCCTCGGTGCCGGCGATGAACATGGCGGCCCCGTGCCTCCTCGTGCTCGTGCTCCTCTGCTTCCTCGCCGGTGGAGAACGCGCATCCCGACCACGCACGAGAGCCAGTGGCGCGTCTCTTTGGCACACTGTCATTGCCGATGCCGTGAAGTCGGCTTCATGCAGTGATGCGAACATGGTGGCACCTCATGGGACCTAGGAGCTCGTCTTGGCTAGAAGGGGGAGAAGCCGGGACCTCGCTGGCGCCACCGGGGATGGGGGAGCAGCGACCGGAAGGGGAGGAGCTAGACCTCGCGCGGCCGACTATGGGGGAGGCACGCTGGGGATGGGGACGCACGCGCGGTAGAGCCCGCGCCCAGTCAGAGCCCATGCGTGGCGGATCTCATGCCTGCGTTCACCATCGGAGCAGCGCTGCTAGCTGGGGTGGTGCGCAGACCTCGCGCTCGCTGGGCTGCTGCTCGCATCTGAGAGGGAGGAGGAGGCGGAGCTGAGAGACGTGTAGATCGTGATGCATCTTTACCGAGCGATGAGGATGAGACGGGCGAAGAAGAAATAGATGAGAGATAATAAAGTCATTTTGCATCCTACAGACACACTGGTTTTCCTACGTGTCCTGTCACGTATGCAAAAATGGCTTAAAGTTATGAATTCTTCTCTCTCGATGATAAATACGTAGAAACAATTTAAAAAATACTATCTAAAGGTGACGTATGTTATAATAATAGTAAAAAGTTAAATATCGGCCGCGGCCGGGCAAAATCGCCCGTTTTTCCCCACGCCACCGTCGCTCCACGCCGCCCCGGCGTCGCCGCCTCCACCCGTTCGCCCCGGTAACACCCGCTTTTATCCGCCCTCCCCCACCCCCGCGCGCGACGCACGCCCGCCCGCTCGCCTCCTCCTATCGTCGCCTCTCGCCGCTCGCTGCTCCTCCTCCCCCACCCCGCGCGCGCCGCACGCTCGCCTCCCTCTATCGTCGCCTCTCGCCGCGGATCGATGGTGGGGGACCTGTCCCTCCTCGCCGTCGCCTCGGCCTCCCCCGTCGTCCTCCCGCCGTCCAAGGTACGCGGAAGGCCCTACTAGCCCCCCGAACCAAAATCCCCGTGCCAGCCGAATCGCAGCCGGGCTACCGTCGGTCAACTGCCCGTGCCCGTGGGGCGGGCGCTGGCCGCCTGGTTCTTGATTGCTTCGCGATGGCTTACCAGTTGCGTTTTCGGTTCGCTGTGCCTTATTGCCTCGCTGTGGCTGACGGATTCTTGGTGTCACGGTGAAACAGGAGCTCCATGGCGTGCTTCCTCTCCAGGGGAAGAGGCCGCAGGACGCCGGTGTGCAGCTCTGCGCGCCGCTGCAGCAGCATCCGCCCCACCATCTAGAGGGGATGCCTTACCACCAGGGCCAGCCAGTGCAGATGGTCGTGCCCGGCGCCCATCAGGGACAGGCCCTCCCGGCCGCCTACCAGGCCTTCGTGATGCCCGACACGGCCACGCTCATCGACGTGCAAGGTTCGTTCATTCTGATCCGCAAGCCTCCTATTGTACCTATTGTTCTAGCACGTAGCGGCTGCCGCCTTCTCTTGCACATTACTTTACTTACCTCTTTCACAATTGAGTGCTCTGAATGCCTCAGCTTCAGCTTAGGAGCCTACAACTCACTGATAGAAACAGAAGGGACAACATGCATGAGCCTTAGCCTTGTCCCTCACAGAGGGATCGAAAGAACATCTATTCAATGTTATTAAATCGGCTAATCGTCGCTAATTGCCCTGGTACCGATCAGGACGATTAATTGACCTCTTATTGGTCTAGTCGTCCATATAATCGTCCTGTGTATATCCGGACATATATCATATATGTATGGTATATATACCATATACTATAATATATCATATATCCTTGTGGACTGCACACCTGCAACCTTCCCTTGACCCTGCAGCAGGAGGGAGGAGGAAGCAGCAGGGAAGCTTGGAACAGGAAGGGAGGGAGGAGGGGAAGAGATGCAGCTGGCCAGCTGCACACACAGCAAGTGCAGCCGACGGCTGGAGGCTGGGGGTGAGGACTGAGGAGCTGAGGGAAAGAGTGGGGGGGAGGTATAAAAGAGAAACCCTAATGGGCCTAGCTCAAAAAGAGCTAGCCCAGTCTGAAGCAGCCCATCTGCCTATTTGGTGCCTGATTGGTCAGGACACCTATTCGGATGATTTATCGCGATTAATCGACGATAAATCAAGACGATCAGGTTTCTATTCGCTCTGATCGAATCGGAGTGCCTAATCAAGTGCTAGGTACCGATAAGGACGATTAATCGCGATTAATCAGACGATCTAATAACATTGCATCTATTTACACATCCATGGCATCTTCCGTGTTTGCAAAAAAGTAAAAAGGTGAACATGCAGTTGGTTTCATTTTATGCATGCTTAACCTTGAACACCAACATCAGTAGGATGCTACTTTCTTCCACAATCTAGAATTTATGAGTAGAGTGTTCATGGTTATCTTTTACAGCCTCTGATGGAATACTGCAATCATCTCATATCTCTTATTAATTTCTTTGGAACAGATTCTCACCCTGACTCAGTTCAACTTAGCCTTGGGATCGCTGAGCAATGTGCAAGGCAAGAGAAACTCCTCAAGTTTCTGATGTCAGGGTCTGACGTCAAGGAACTTGATGAATCCTTGCTAGCTGAATTCACAGGGCAACAGACCCTAGCAATAAACATGGGAACTCAGCCATATATGCCGGATGATAAATTATCAATCTCTGAATTAGTGTTGAATGAGCCCCAACACTATCTGCCAGAGAAAGAACTTGTCATCCCTGATCCTCTTCTGCACGTCGTTCAGTCTCATGGCTTTGCTCTTACTATTGATCAAAATGGCCGGGTCTTATTCGCTGGCAATGGTGATGAGATGATAGACTTGCTCTCAGTTTTCCTGGAGTTCAACATGTCTAAACGAGAAACAGGTGGCTGTAAGGCTGCATTTCTTGTTCCATACTTTGAGAGGTAATACTGCAAAGCATGATTACTGAATGTTTATCTCTGACTGCTATTTAATGGTTGCCTAATTACTTAAATGCACATAATGTATGTAAGATTGCAAACGCAAATCATTCTATGTGACTTTGCTTCTGATATGTGGAAAGAATTATTTTTCTGTTAAGTATTATGTTGGAACTATTAACTTGCTGCAGCTTGCCCATTAATTTCCATGAATCAGGTAGCTGAGAGCAAGATGCTGTATTCTAAATCTTCCTTGAGCTTCAAATGGATTAATATATGATGTAATGATGCATAGTATATCCATTATCTTCTAAGAACCCATGGATGAACTAGTACAGAACTAGATCTTCTTGCATGATTAACAGGCAAGAAGCATGAATAATAGCAATGCATAGTTAGGTAGCAAGAAATGTGTGGAGCATGGAAGTCTCTTAAGTTACCCTTCAACATAGAGGATGTAGTTTCTATGCCAATGATTTGTTTAGAAGTTACAAATTGATGTTCACTGTTTTAGTTGTGAACTTGCGATCTTTAAATATTATGGTTCATTTATGTATTATTAATTGTTATTGCCAGTACATTTCCAATTATCACATTTACATGGCATGATTCTTTTTGCATAAACAGGAAAAGGCGTTCTCGGGCTAATAGCCAAGTATCCAATTCAAAATTAGCAAGCACAGCAGCTGATGTTTCAAAAAGGTACTGCATTCTTTTTGCTTCCTTTTTATGTTCAGGCATATGTTACTTCATGTTGCTGCTTTGAAACATTATTAGTTATGGCATCTCCCATGCTATTTTCTCATTTCACTTATTTTAAAAATTTTGATACTGAGTACTGCAGTGCTTTTGCCAATTGGCAGCACAGCATAGATCCTAGAGTAGTTTCTGATTCTAGTGGGAGGCAGTTAACGTGTGCGCGCGACCCCTCCCGCCGCCGCACTACCACCCACGTCCGCCGGCGACGCGCCACCTTGCCACCCCGCCCACCTCTGCCCTCCACTAATCCATTGGCTCTGTCAACCAGTCGCCGGCGAGCCTCCTCTGCCCCAACCGCCGCCTCCACCACCAGGGCCGGCGGTGCTCCACTGCCCCGCCGCCCCACCCACCTACTGCTGGGCCAGCCTACTGCCAGGGATCTAGGGTTCGGGGAAGGCAGCAAACCCTAACCCACCTCCAGTGATGGCCGGCGTCAGTGCAGGGGAGCGCGGTTGTGCGAGCACGTGACCCGTCGCTGGTTAGATTTTGCATTCTAGTGGTGTGACCTTATATTTGCAGCACAAATAGTAGTAGGCATTTTTTTAACTATCTTTATTCTGCATTTTATAATTTAGAAAGTTTCTATGAAAATTAGCAAACACTAAGCAGAGCGGCCTGTTGTTATTTGAACATTCTTAAGTGGTTATAAAGTTTTGTCTTTATGCCAGAAGTATGTGTAATACATCATTTTGATGCTAACCATGCATGAAAGACCTTTAATTGGAAGGTCTTCATTTAACCTTCATATGTAATGTTCAGAATGAATTCTTTAAATTTACATGCAGGTGCAGGAACATTTGGACATTTAACTTTATGTTGTGCTACATTTAGATTGATGTTTCCACCTTATTAGACAATCAAGATATTAATGTGGTTTTTGTTTAAAAAAAAACATGCAGTACTGACGTGAACTCAAAATCTTTGTCAAAGAAGAAACGTAAAGTGAAAAACATCAAAGAACGTGACTTGTATCAGAGAAACTACACACATGCTAGCGAAGCTATTTTATCCATCCTACTGGACAAGGACAAAAGCAGCTCGACAATCCTCTCACTGAAAAAGGCTGGTCCGGAGATCACTGAACTTTTAACGCAGTGCTCTATTGGCATAGCTGGAACTGGATTGGCTATTCTTCTGTCAGTTATGTGCAAGATGGCTACCGGCATGAGGACTCCTTTTGCTTCGGCTCGACTGCTTAGCACCAGCGTTGGATTCGGACTCTTTTGGCTATCCTGGGCAGTCAATGGATTACGTGATACCATTGCCAGCATTTTCAGAAGCCCAAGTAACATGAATATCGAGGATGATGAGGTCGCAGTGAGAATAGAAAAAAGCGTGAATGAAATTCTTTTCAGGGCATTAACTCTCTTGGCAATCACCGCACTGAAGTTTGCATGAGTAGTTATCATAATCTTTATAGGTTTGTCGACCCACTTGTGATATATAGTTCACCTATGTGGTTCAGGAGTGTAGTATTGCTGCAGTACTGCTTCTGTAGGACCAAGTTCCACCTGCCCAAATCATGGTTATAGTTTCTCATTGATCTTGTAGAAAATGAGCCAAGTTGTAAATTGTACAGAATTTTGCAGAAGCCCAGTGTATATTGTGAAAGATGAATTTTACTTCTCTGAACATTGGATAATCTAATGCCCAGAGCATATTTATATTTTTATCTACCTAGCTGCTGCACTGTTTTTTCCCCCCCTTAGTAGCTGTTTGATGCCTGGTTCCTGACGTTGTTTTGGAACTTCAAAACGTAATTCCATTGTGCGGTATAATTCGTAGGAGGAATAAAAAAAAAGCTGCACTATTGTTTTCTCCTTCTAGAATGGAGTCTCTTATTACATAGAAACAAAGTAGAAAATAGCTGTAAGAAACTGAAATGTAAATGATATGATTGATGTCCTTGAAATGAGACTCTACTTGAAGCACATAAACTTTGTCGATGTTCTATGATAACGATGTAATTTTAAGAAGCTGCACGCTAGATCTATCATAAGATAGCATGTAAGGGAGAAATTTTGAAGGAGCTGCACTACTGGTAATATTCAAAACAGACAACTTTGTGTCGGCAGCTGCTGTGGCAAAGCAGTTGAAAGTCTCTAGATTTCGAACCACCGTGGCAATATAGGCGACCGGAGCCTGAGTTTCAAATTCATCACCAGATGTTCCGTTGGCTTCCCCCTCTCTACGGTCTCGTCTTAACAGCATTGAGAGTACTCGAACAAGGTGTGGCACACAAACCGGATCGTAAATAATATCTGCGCCAAGACTGGCAAAAGAAAGTGTTTAGATGAAAGTGAGGATAGCATGAACAGCAGTGACACGTTATGTTATCCAGTTTACAAGGTAATTCTTATCTCACTAAACAGGGCTACTGCAGTTCACAATGTATTCCCTGTCACAAGATTCGTATGAGTTCACACCAACTTTCCAACAAGTACTACCTAAACAGTGAATGGACAACTAACACTCTTGTCACTTCAAAACAGTTATTGAATGATTAATTAACATTATTTAATATGAAAAATGTAGAAATAGCAACTGAGCTAAGAATACACAAAGGCGAACTGAAGAGTCCTTGATAAATCTGATTGGCACACTAAGCTACTGAAGTTTGTACTGTGTACTGTGTGAATCACTTCACTGATCAGAAATATCGCTAGAAATTCATAGCGAGCATCACTTTTCATCACAACTTCTACAGATGATTCTTCAGACCTATGCCCAAAACTGCTATTATTTTATTATCATTGTTGAGTATCTTACTCAGATAAGACTACGGTTTACGAGAAATTTCAATATTTGACCCTCGGTTCGCGCACCTCTCCAGATTTAACACTCAGTTCGCATGCCTTTCAAAATATAACCCTAGGCACGCGAATTCTTTCGATCTGAGGGATTTCTCTCTTTTCTGGAGGCATGCCTTTCAAAATATTTTGGGTTATATTTTGAAAGGCATGTGACAAAAGGGTACCAGAAGCTAAAAGGCAAGTTTTATAGGACGACGATTAGACCTGCTATGTTGTATGGTGCAGAATGTTGGCCTACGAAAAGACAACATGTTCAACAGATAAGTGTCGCGGAAATGCATATGTTGCGTTGGATTTGCGGTCATACAAGAAGGGATCGAGTTCGGAACGATGATATACGTGATAGATTAGGGGTAGCACCAATTAAAAAAAAGTTTGTCCAACACCGGTTGAGATGATTTGGACATGTCCAACGAAGACCTCCAGAGGCACGGTGCGTAGTGGAATCCTAAGCCAGGATAGTAACGTGAAGAGAGGCAGAGGAAGACCGAAGTTGACTTGGGTAGATGCAATAAAATGAGACTTGAAAAGATGGAATATACCCAAAGACTTAGCCTTAGATAGAAGTGCTTGGAAAACAGTTATTCACGTGACTAAACCTTGATTGCTTCTGCTGGGTTTCAACTCTAGCCTACCCCAACTTGTTTGGGACTTAAAGGCTTTGTTGCTATTGTTGTTATATTTTGAAAGGCATGCAAATTGAGTGTTAAATCTGGAGGGGCGTGCGGGTCAAATATTGAAATTTCTCTGACAGTTTACCAGGGGCTATATGAAGCAATAGGAATCCAATTTTAGATGATTAGCATGGTTCCCACTTCCCAGTTCCCATCATTATGATTTTCTGTACAACCGTACAAAGAAATAGTGCAAAAGTACATTTCTATACTCACATTACGTCTGGCTGGTAGCCCCATAAATCACTTTCAGACACTTCTTCCCAAGAAAGATATTTGCACTCTACCTGCATGCCACAATGCTTTGTCACCAAGTTAGATCTAATAATGCATTTATCCAATGCTCATGAATCGCCATCTGATTCAACTGTTGAATTCCAAATTATGTAAGAGACAATACTGAGTTATGCAAGGAAACTAAGCTACCTTATTCTTGCTTTCTTTTAGTACTCTAGAATCTTCCTGCTCAATGCATAAGTTATTCAGTTCCATATTTTCCTTCATGTTTCTGAGTGTACATGGGTCACCATCAGTAAGAATAACCTGCATATTAATGAATTCTGCATGACATATTACGTTTATAAATAACCTTTTGATTTCTGAAGAAACTTATGAACATAATTGAACTGAACAATTCATGCTTAATTGCCACTCTTAGCTCCACACGTACAGTCAAAATTAAGCAGTTAAAAAAGTACATAAGCACCCCCACTTCACAAAGTTAGGAAACCATACATGATTCACTTTTTCACCCATAGACAATATGTCATTCGAATGGAGAGTGGCATAATAGACTTACATACCTTAGAGGCACCGACATGATTAAGACAAATGCCCACCAAACCAACACCGGAACCTAACTGCTTATCATGCAAAATGTTAGAGCAATAACCACAATTAACAAAACTGAGAATACTCCTCAAGTGCAAAGAAAAACAGTAAACACCACCACCTAACTATTTGTGCAAAGAAAATATCTAGGTAATTTTGCACATAAACAAAGTGTCTTCCTCAAGTAGCTGGCCAGAGATATCATGTAGTCTATACTACTATAAAATATGAAAGGAATAAGAAATTGGTTTCATGAGGATACATCAACACATGTTCACAGATTCGAGATCAAATGGTGGTGCACAGAGCATATAACAACACTTATACAAATATTGATCCTTCTACTAAATTCTAGTTAGCCTCGTAGCAAACAAAAATGGACCAAATAAATTTGCATTATTATTTGATAGAATTTGATTATTGGAGCATGAGCTAAAAATATTTAGAGCATCTCCACCAGATCTCTTATACTCTCCCTATCACTTAAATAGGAAATGTAACAGCTGCAACAGATCTCTTATCGCATCTCCTATCCCTATATTCTTTAGGAGATCTCCTAAATCCACCACCTTCTCTCCTAAAGAAAGGGAAGTCTTCTCCCTCTCCTAAATCAATATGAAGTTTTGGCAATCTGCTGGAGCAAAGGTCTCTCATATCCTTAAGTTACTTTTGAGAGATCTCCTATAACTGGTTATAGGGGAGAAAGAATAGGAGATCTGGTGGAGATGCTCTTACATTATCTTTCTTACATAAAGTTTCTTACATGAGGTTATACTGTTAATGTATCTCACACTATCGTACAATTAATCACTTACCTCAAAGCAACACTTTGTGGAGAAAAATTTAGGGTACGAAAGAATAAATTCAGACAAGAATAAACTTGATGGCCAAAGAGAACACCTGAAATTGTAAAATATCCACAATATATCAAAATAATATATGAAAGTAGTATGATAAAATATCTGACCACTAGATCTTAGAGTGTTCAATGAAGTCGTACCCTGTATCTCCTTCAAGCATATTAGAAGAACATGATAGTCGAGCAACGACATTTACTAGCTTTGAAGAAATGTTATTATCTAGATATATAAAGCGGGTTGTCACTATAGATCTTTATAATTAATAATATAATTGTGATATATTTCTTGAAGAAAATTAAATAGTTCGAATTGACAACTTACGTGTAGAAGAGAGAAAAGATATTTCTTTATAAATATGATCTGTCTTGTTTAATAATGAATCTTTCTGCATGCAACAATAAGTTATTTATGATAGTGTCAACGATTATAAACTATTAAGATACAATATAGATAAAATCTACATACTGCTTTAGACAACATACGTTGAGCAAATTCCTCATAAAGTTCATCAATCACAACATTTGAAGATAATTCAACCTCAGATATAATCTTTTTAAAAATAATTGTTGTATAAATAGAGTCTTGACATCTTTCTACCTGCATCAATACAATGAAGTGACAAATGTAATAAGATGTGAAGATACATATTAACGATAACTTAAATAAACACTATATTAGTGTCTTTCTCAAATAAATTACATATTCCTTCTATTGAAAAAAAAAATTTGTATTGGTTGAGCAAATTTTCGAGACAAGAAAATAAATCATTTACGTTTGAGCCAGTGCAAGTCTCCAAAAGAATTTTTTGGACATGCGGTGTGATATAACCTCCCCCAGCTTCTCTGCAAATGAAATAAAACCAAACATAAATATGAAGCAATATAGAGCTTCTGAATATATTTCTTTTTTTCTCGATCTTGCGCGTCTTTGTATTAAGGTAGAGAAAAGTTTAATACAACACGCCTTAGCGGCGCCCTACAGGGTCAGAAGAGTTGTACATGGACGCTTAGACCCACCATAGCGGCGCTGGCTAGAAGGCCTATGCCCTGGCTACCGAGCGGCGGCGGCACTGCTTGCACGGACCCATGTCGTCATCTGGCAGGAACAACTCTCGAAGCGTCTGCATGTTACCGGGGTCACCGCTGTAGATTTCTTCGTACACCTTTATGGCCGACGTGGACGGAGACGACATCCCGCAGATTAGTCCCAGGCGCTTCAAGACAAGGTGCTCACCTCGCTTGGACGCCAGGATATGTGACAAGCTCTGCGCCGTTATCCACTTGCTCCTCTTGGGGAGCGCGGGCGGTGGACGTCCGCCATGGGCCGTATCATCTCCGGGCAGCTCCAGGAGTAGTGGCTGCCACACCTTTATGACTCGCTCAGTGAAGCGCTTGAGGAGTCTGTGAAGTCGTCTGAGGGGATGGAGTGCAGTTGACAGCGTCCGTGGCAGCCACGGACGTCGCATCTCCCGGGGTGGCCTCGGCATCCGCGACGCTAGGATGTCCCCCCGTGGCGGCATGACTTGTGGTGGCCCCTGCACGTGCGACGGAGGCGGGTCCGTCATCCACTGTGCAGTCTTCACCGGAGAACGGGTGTCCACCAGCGATGCATCCACTTCCAGAGAGGCGGCCGCCAGAGCAGTAAAGAACCCAGGCGCTGGTGCTCCTGCTGGGGGGCTCGCGACGAGCAAGGCGGCGAGCTCCTCCAGCATTGGGTCGACCCACGTGGGAGGCCCCAAGCACGCGCACAGCTCCAACGCCAGCGGATCTAGCTCGGAACCAGGGAAGCAGCATGCAGCAGCAGCGGCGTTGTCGTCGTGGTAGGTCAGCGCGCCCAAGCTGACGTCCCTCGCTAGCTTGCTCCGGCGTCGCCACCGTCGTCGTCGGGTTCCGCTGGTACCCCCCGCGCCACCCTGCACGGCCTCATCCGAGCTCGGCGGACTGCCGCGGGGCGTGTGCTTGGAGGCCGGCGGGGTGCCACGGTCGGCCGCCACTCTTCACCGCTGATGCCGCAGCATGACTGGGCCACATGCAAACCCTGGCGATGTTGCGGAAGCCATGGCAGCGCAGGCAACGCCGTGGCGACCAGCAAGTCGCTACCTGGTGCGAATAGGAAAGACAGTTGAAGCATCTGCCTCGAAGCTCCATGGGAACCTTCCGGGTCTGTAGAGGTTGTTGCGGCTAGGCTCAGCCGAGGCGGCCGTAGGTCTCGCCTCCTGCTGGGTAGGATCTCCTGCCACCCATCGGCGTTGGTGGCGGAGACCCGTCCGCGGCGGCCGAGGCACTGACAGGCAGGGATGCGGCCATCAACTGGCTGAGCAGGCAGGTCGCACACTAGCTGGGCCCACCTTCGCTTCGCCACAACCTAGAATCACGATTGAATGAGTCTGGGTGCGCGGCGGGGACACAACGACCTGCTTCGCCGGCGTCCAGGTAGCTGGTGGGGTGGTCGTCGTTGGACTCCTCGTCGCCAGCATCCTCCCACTGGAACGCTTCGTGTGACAGCCACCAGGGTATAAGGAGCGTATCCGGAGAGAGGGTGTGCGAGTTGGGGGCACTGGCAGCGTAGGCAGCCTCTCGCCCACGGCGCGGAGTCGTGGGCGGCAGCGGCAGCGGCCGTGCGTCGCGCTCCTCAGCACCGCACCGCGCATAAGGGAGAGGAAGGGAGGGGCGGACAAGCTCGGAGCGGAGCCACAGGCCTTCACAGCCACCTTCTGGACCTCAAGCAACGTGCGCCGAGGCGCGGCGAACTCTCCAACACCGGCGACGACGGATCCACCCGCCCGGTGTCCATCGCCGTGACCGATAGTCGTGGATCCGGCCTGCGCAGCGGGCACACCAACGCCGCCAGCGGCGGCGGCGCCCAGCTCAAGCGGCGGCGGGGAGGACGCCGGATGCGCTAGGGTTTGGTGGGGAAGTGGGTCATCCTGTTCGTGGCACTCGCGTGGGTGAGGGTTTGGCGAGCTCCTAGTTATTTGATTTGAAGTCTCTGGTCTGAATATATTTCTCCGTTGGACTTCTAGCGTATTCATGCGTTGGACTTCTAGCCCTGTTCGCTTGTCTTATAATCCGTACTTTTTAGTTTGTTTTTTCAACCGTGAAATATTTTGTGGTCTGCACAACATTTTCATGGTCAACTAACTAATCAGTTGCTGCAAGTCACTCAAATTTATTGCAGAATCATAGCTATGCGATGTTGGTGGAGTGATTAGGGGCCGTTTGACAATGCTCATTGGAGCAGTTTCAGAATCACTCGGTGCTCAGGAAAAAAAAGGGCGTACCCAGCAGAGAGCTCTCGCTTTATGCAGGGTCTGGGTAAGGGTGTTACTGGCAAGCCTTATCCTCGCATGTGCAATGCGAGGAGACCGCAACTCGAACCCGGGGCCTTCCAGTCACAGGCGGCAAGCCTCGTGCTCAGCCAAACAAAAAAAAAAAAAAAAAAAAAAAATCACATAGAAACTTGGTGGGGATTAGACAAAAATCAATCTCCATTTGGATTTGGACCTGGATCTAAAAAAGACATGCTCAACACTGTTCCCTATGCAGTGTGCACAAGCAGAATCACTTCCAACCTGTTCTCCACCCTGCTCCCCCACCAGAATAACTCTTTCAGTGAATCAAAGAGAATCAAGGAGCTGGAGCGTTAAGAATTAGGGAGTGGAGTTCACCCAAACAGGAAAGCATGACACTCCACTCGTACGGCAGGATGGCCAATTATAAAGTTATTATATGAACATACCTAACATTGGAGGCCAATTACCAGACAAACTAGCCATCAGCAATACACTTGCAAGGCCAGCAGGTCACCTAGATATCCACCGCTTTCCGAATCACGAATCACTCGGAAAAGGGCGCCGCACAGCGAGAGATCTCGGGGGTACCGTTGCGATTTTGACTGCCCGAGGTGGCGCGTACCTGGCGAGTGCGAGCACGCAGGCGGGAGGCTCCCCGGCGAGGAACGCGAGCTTCAGGTGGAGCAGCCGCTGCTCGGTGGTGTCCTGCGCCGCCGCGTCAGCCATCGGCGACTCGGTGAGCTTCTGTTCTGCCGCCCTTTTTGAGATGTGAGCGCGCACGGAAGGAGGACGCGGTGGCGGCGGTTTCCCTTCTGTTGCTTTGGGAAAGGCGGCAGGGTTATCTTCTCTCGAGTTGGCAATGGCGAGGCCGAATTGGTGACCGTGACGGCCTGACGGGAAACACCACCACCAAAACTTGTACGGACCGGGCCGTCATCCTACACCAATGTGACACTGAACTGGGCCGATTAGTACAGTATGCTCGTAATTTTGGAAGGGAAAAAGTATATTCCACCTCCCTAAATTATTATTGTCGTGGTCTTATTTTCTCCTCATCAAACTCTAAAACCAAATATTTTATCAGCTGAACTCTTTGAAACCCTTCAAATTACCTCTCGGACCCGGTTGGAATAAGTTTGAAGATGGAGTCTATCATTCGTTCTCAGTTTTTTTTTTAAATGTATTGGATAAGAATTTTAAACCATAGAAGAAGTGGTGATCTGTCCTGACAAAAAACCGAAGCAGCGGCATGTTGCGCGTTGTTGAGATTGATTGACATGAACGAACTGGGGTAAAAGCTAAGCAAAACGACAGTAGTGGAAGGATCGGAACAGAGGCAGAACTGCTGCTTGGATTGAGGGGCTTTTTTTTGGATAATGGCATTGAGAGGCTATTAGCCTCAACTCGTTTAGGTCTATATTTAATACAATATAGTGATAGACTGAGGATGTCCATCTGGACAGACCTCAACACGCCGGCGCCGTCCGCATACATGCCTTAGAAAATATCTGCCACGCTCCTCTTAATCTCTCGTGCCTCCCTGCCTCCGCTTTTTCTCTCTCTCTCTCATGTGCCTCCAACGCTACTCCCTCCATATCTCTCGTTGCGGTGCGGGCGAGCATCCCGGTGCGGCGGCGCAACGGCCTCGGCGTGGCCTCAGCAAGAGCAGGCCACGACGCAGAGGCTCGAGCGGCCCTCAACACGGCGACGCAACGGCGCCAACGGCCCCAGTCACAGGCGGACTAGCGCGACAGGGTCGACACGAGTGGCGCCCTGGCGGATCTGGCTCCATCTCCCAGTCTTGCGGGCACTGCCTCCTTGCCACATCGCGTAGCCACCGCCAGCGGCCTGCCACCTACGAGCGCCATCGGGCCGCTGCCTACGATAAACTCAACACGCTGACAAGCCTCCATTCTCCTAAGCAACAAAGAGATGTTGCGCTGCGTTAAAAGTGCATGTTGCAAACATATGTTTTAGTGTTTCATATGTTTCGGTGGTATATTGCAAGTGTTTCAGATATTTCAAAGGTATGTTGCAAGTGTTTCATACAGATGTTGCAAAAATAGATCGGGATGTTGCACATGTTGCATATATTGCAAGTGTTTCAAATGAATGTTGCAAGAGTTTGTTCAAAATGTTTCATCTGTTTTAGACTATGTTGCAAGCATTTTGATCTGGATGTTTTATATGTTTCACACATATGTCACAAGAGTATATTTCAAATGTTTTATCTGTTTTCAGTCTTATATTACAACAAGTTTTTTCATGTTGCAAGTTGCTACTATTTTATCTAGAAGTTGCATATGTTGCAGTGGCTATACGCGTATGTTGCAATTGTATGTTTCAAATGTTTTAGCTATTTTAGATGTATGTTGCAAGTGTTTTATCTAGGAAGTTGCATATGTTGTAGTTGCTATACACATATGTTGCAAGCTTATGTTTCAAATATTTCACCTGTTTCAGACGTATTTTTGCAGCAAATGCTTCATGTTGTAAGTGTATTCATTAGCAGGCGAGGGAAGCGAGAGTAGGCGGAGGAGGTCCCCGTGTGCGGGGGCTATTAGAGTAAATAGGAATCCTAGGACCAGACCATTCTAGGATGGTGTAGGACCAGTCTATTCCACGATGGTCAGGGACTGGTCTATTCCACGATGGTCTATGTACTCTGTATAATCAGCCAATGAGGCCTAATGTAATACAATCAATATTCCACCCATTCCACATTCCTTCATGGTATCATTCCCTAGGTTTAGATCCTAACCTTAGCCGCGCTGCTTCCGCACCGCGCGCCCCGAGGAAAAGATCGATCTCCACCGGGGCAGTGCCACCCCTTTAGGCGTCAGATCCTATTGATCCTGCTGCCATCTTTGTCGTCGTGAAGCCATCAGATCAGGCCTTCTCGCGACGCCACGCTACCTCGTCACCCTCACCACTCTTGCCGTGGAGGACGTTGGGCATCGTCCCCCATCCTGCGCTGCCGTAGCGGTGGCCCGGGCCAGGTCAACCCCGACACCGAGGCGCCATGGTGGCAGCCGGCCACTCTAAAAGCTCTAGTTTGGTTTTGGTTAATTGATGAAACCCTAAGTGCTAACCTAGTTTATCAAAGTGATTATGAGATAGGTAGCACTACTCCAAGTGATGAAGCAATAGTAAAGATCATGATAATAGTGATGATCAAATGCTTGAACTTGGAAAAGAAGAAAGAGAAAAACAAAAGGCTCAAGGCAAAGGTATAAATAATAGAAGCCATTTTGTTTTAGTGATCGAGACACTTAGTGAGTGTGATCACTTTTAGATCGATAGCCGTACTATTAAGAGGGGTGAAACTCGTATTGAAATGCGGTTATTAAAGTGCCACTAGATGCTCTAACTCATTGCATATGCATTTAGGATCTAGTGGAGTGCTAACACCCTTGAAAATGTTTGTGAAAATATGCTAACACATGTGCACAAGGTGATACACTTGGTGGTTAGCACATTTGAGCAAGGGTTAGAAACTTCACTGGCGGAGTATCCGCCCGTAGAGTGCGGACAGTCCGACGGTGCCACCGACACTCTATATAGAAAAGGCGGAGGTCACTGTAAGTGACCGGATGCTGGTCTCGGTAGGACCGACACGTCAGGTCAGTGGAAGCATGAAGACGCTGGCGTCGGTCTTCGACCGGACGCTGGGTCACTTTGTGACCGGATGCTGTAGGGGTGTATCCGGTCCTGCTGACATGGCAGCGCACAGAGGAGGTCATGATTTTTAGCGAATGGAAGCTTACTAGAAACGACCGGACGCTGGGGTCCTGCGTTCGGTCACTTTCAAGCAGCGTGTCCGGTCATCACTTGACCGTTGGGATTGGGCGCTCAGTATTTGAAGAGAGGATGTCATGGCAGAAATCCATTGACCGGACGCTGACAGGCTGCGTCCGGTCGATCTGACCGGAGCGTCCGGTCACCCCGTGTTGTGCCCAGTGAAGGGGTACAACGGCTCTATTTCGTGGGGGCTTCTATTTAAGTCTCATGGCCGGCTCAAGCTCACTCTCTTGGCCATTTGCATTGATATAGCAACCTTGTGAGCTTAGCCAAAGCCCTCCCACTCATTTCCATCATTGATCCATCATCATTATGAGATTGGGAGAGAATCCAAGTGTATTGCTTGAGTGATTGCATCTAGAAGCACTTGGTATTTGTGTTTTGCTGTGGGATTCACTTGTTTCTCTTGGTGGTTGCCGCCACCTAGACGGCTTAGAGCAGCGAGGATCATCGAGCGGAGGTTAGTGATTGTCTTCGGCTCCAATCGCGGTGATTGTGAGGTGTCTTGTGGCTTCCCCGGCGGAGCGCCGAAAGGTAACTCTAGTGGATTGCTCGTGTTATTGAGTTACCTCACTTGTGGGTAGGTTCTTGCGGTGTCCAAATATGTGGACGAGGTTTGTGCAACACCTCTTAGCCACCGAACCACCAAGTGTTGGTCGACACAACGGGAACTAGCGTGCCGGCAAGCACGTGAACCTCGGGAGAAAAATTGGTTGTCTCTTGCCCTTTGGTATTCTCCCGGTGATTGATTTAGCATTCATCTTGTGATTGGTTCACTCCTCTACATGATGGTATAATCACCCTACTCACTCATTTATATTCTTGCAAATTAGTTGTAGTAAGCTCTTTAGTGTAACTAGAATTGAGAGCTTGCTTTGTAGTTTAAGTTCATCTAGTTGAGCTCTTTAGTGTAGCAAGTGTGAGAGCTCTTAGTGAGTAGTGACATAGAAAATTATGTGTTTAGTGATCATAGCAACTAGAACTGTTGGATAGGTGGCTTGCAACCCTTGTAGAGCTAGAGCAAGTTTGCATTTCGCTATTTGTTATACTAATCAAATTGCTCTAGTTGATTTGTAGATTTTTAAATAGGCTATTCACCCCCCTCTAGCCATATTAGGACCTTTCACACTTTGTGCCATCCTCATGCGACCCTACGTGACAAGACCCACCCTGCACCCCGCGCCGTCCGATTCTGGCCGCTCGCGTCGCCGATCGGGACAAGTCGCGCCGAGGCGCACTATCGCCGGGGGTGCCCTGTCTCACTAGGTACACCTAATCCCCTACTGTCATATCTTTGTGTTTTGCCGGATCAGTGATCGGGATTGAGTCTGTTAGCACCTGTTGACCTCACATGTTCTACTTTGGAGGCATCGGCATCGACCTGTGCGTGCGCCCCCTACCTCATCGCGGCTACACACCCCATTGGCTGGGCCTCCGGCTGGGCATCGCCGAGTACTACGCATCTCTTCTTCAAGCAACCGGGCTGCTACTATGTCGCCTCATCGGGCCACAACACCGCCGCACATGTCTGTCGCTGTTGCATCTACATTGTCGTCCCCTGTGCATTGACGATTGTGCTGCGCAATCCTTGTTGCACCATCTGTCCGCACAAGGTCTTCGTCATGCAGATTGGGGCTTCGTCATCGAGCTATCGCTTCCCGCACCATCGCTGAGCCCTGCTCGCCGGCTGCTCCGAGTCATCGCTGAGCCCTGCTCGTCGATACGTCCGCACCGCTTGTCCCGCGCCGTTGCTAAGCCCTGCTCGCTAGTTGTCCCATGTCATCGCTAAGCCCTACTCGCTGATGCGTCCGCACTGCTTCTTCTTCGTCTACCATAACCACGTCATCAGCGTCACCATCTTGTCCCTTGGATGCTGATGTATGGTTGGGGCCCTCTACCTTGTACGCCCGGTATTAGCAACACCG